GTTCAGCCGTGTCGATTCTAATTGATTTCGAAATCCATGTACTATTGAAATTTGAATAAGCGCAGGTACGTGTTACCACTTGTGACTGAGGGAACTCAGGGCTGTCAGTCCACTTCAGACACCGACTTTGGCCCATTCTGAGACTGTCTCAAAAGGAATCAACCCTGTACGTTCAGCCGTGTCGATTCTAATTGATTTCAAAATCCATGTACTATTGAAATTTGAATAAGCGCAGGTACGTGTTACCACTCGTGACTGAGGGAACTCAGGGCTGTCAGAACTGATTTAAGGGCTTTTCAGAGGCATTCTGAGACTGTCTCAAAAGGAATGGACCCTGTACGTTCAGCCGTGTCGATTCTAATTGATTTCGTAATCCATGTACTATTGAAATTGGAATAAGCGCAGGTACGTGTTACCACTCGTGACTGAGGGATCTTAGGGCTGTCAGAACTGATTTAAGGGCTTTTCAGAGGCATTCTGAGACTGTGTCAAAAGGAATCAACCCTGTACGTTCAGCCGTGTCGATTCTAATTGATTTCGTAATCCATGTACTATTGAAATTTGAATAAGACCAGGTGTGTGTTACTGCTCGTGCCCAAGGGATCTCAGGGCTGTCAGAACTGATTTAAGGGCTTTTCACAGGCATTCTGAGACTGTCTCAAAAGGAATCAACCCTGTACGTTCAGCCGTGTCGATTCTAATTGATTTCGAAATCCATGTACTATTGAAATTTGAATAAGCCCAGGTGTGTGTTACTGCTTGGTGACTGAGGGAACTCAGGGCTGTCAGTGCACTTCAGACGCCCACTTTGGCCCATTCTGAGACTGTGTGAAAAGGAATGAATCCTGTACGTTCAGCCGTGTCGATTCTAATTGATTTCGTAATCCATGTACTATTGAAATTGGATAAGCGCAGGTACGTGTTACCACTCGTGACTGAGGGATCTTAGGGCTGTCAGAACTGATTTAAGGGCTTTTCAGAGGCATTCTGAGACTGTCTCAAAAGGAATCAACCCTGTACGTTCAGCCGTGTCGATTCTAATTGATTTCGTAATCCATGTACTATTGAAATTTGAATAAGACCAGGTGTGTGTTACTGCTCGTGCCCGAGGGATCTCAGGGCGGTCACAACTAATTTAAGGGCTTTTCAGAGGCATTCTGAGACTGTCTCAAAAGGAATCAACCCTGTACGTTCAGCCGTGTCGATTCTAATTGATTTCGAAATCCATGGACTATTGAAATTTGAATAAGCCCAGGTGTGTTTTACCACTCGTGACTGAGGGAACTCAGGGCTGCCAGTCCACTTCAGGCACCTACTTTGGCCCATTCTGAGACTGTCTCAAAAGGAATCAACCCTGTACGTTCAGCCGTGTCAATTCTATTTGATTTCGTAATCCATGTACTATTGAAATTTGAATAAGACCAGGTGTGTGTTACTCCTCGTGCCCGAGGGATCTCAGGGATGTCAGAACTAATTTAAGGGCTTTTCAGAGGCATTCTGATTTCGTAATCCATGTACTGTTGAAATTTGAATAAGCGCAGGTACATGTTACCACTCGTGACTGAGGGATCTCAGGGCCGTCAGTCCACTTCAGGCACCTACCCTGGCCCATTCTGAGACTGTCTCAAAAGGAATTAACCCTGCACGTTCAGCCGTCTCGATTTTATTTGATTTCGTGATCCATGTACTATTGAAATTTGAATAAGCCCAGGTGTGTGTTACTCCTTGTGTCTGAGGGATACCACTCGTGACTGAGGGATCTCAGGGCCGTCAGTCCACTTCAGGCACCTACCCTGGCCCATTCTGAGACAGCCGTCTCGATTTTATTTGATTTCGTAATCCATGTACAATTATTGATTTCATAATCCATGTACTATTGAAATTTGAATAAGACCAGGTGTGTGTTACCACTCGTGACTGAGGGATCTCAGCGCTGTCAGTCCACTTCAGGCACCTACTTTGGCCCAATCTGAGACTGTCTCAAAAGGAATTAACCCTGCACGTTCAGCCGTCTCGATTTTATTTGATTTCGTAATCCATGTACTATTGAAATTTGAATAAGCCCAGGTGTGTGTTACTCCTTGTGTCTGAGGGATCTCAGGGCTGTCAGACCAACTCTCAGGGCTTTCTATAGTCATTATGAGACTGTCTCAAAAGGAATTAACCCTGTACGTTCAGCCGTCTCGATTTTATTTGATTTCAAAATCCATGCAGGTCTGCCAGGGTTCAGGTCTGTGACATTACTAGTAACATAGGATTCGGTATCCTTTTTCCTATATGTCTTTTCGTAGATGTCTTGTGGAATGTATTTTTCTCATCACTTAGCAAAATCTTTTCCACAATTGATCTATCTCATCCAACTTTATTCTCTTTGATCTACTACATCACTTAGACTATTCACTACATCACTAGGTTTTGTTCCCTACCAGGCCTCATAGTCATAGCTTTGTTAACACAGACTATCTCTAATGTCTGGTTCCTGACAATGTCAGAGCAAGAAAGAATGACTCTGCTTGACTATCTGTTCATCTTTCCCCCCCCCCCCCCCCCTCCCTTTTTTTCTCTTGTTCCAAGGATGAATAGATGTTTTTTTTTATTCCCTTTCTCTTGTTCCAAGGATGAAACAATGTTTTCTTTTTTCCCTTTGTGAGTAAACAAAGATTGTCACCTGTTCACTCCAGTCACCATGTGAGGATGAAGGGGAACGGGAAAGGGAAAGGGATGCAAAAGCCAAAAAGCCATGTGAGGATGAAGGGGAACGGGAAAGGGAAAGGGATGCAAAAGCCAAAAAGCCATGTGAGGATGAAGGGGAACGGGAAAGGGAAAGGGATGCAAAAGCCAAAAAGCCATGTGAGGATGAACGGGAAAGGGAAAGGGAAAGGGATGCAAAAGCCAAAAAGCCATGTGAGGATGAACGGGAACGGGAAAGGGAAAGGGATGCAAAAGCCAAAAAGCCATGATAGGAGAAGGACAGAAGGTGGTGGGAAAGAGGGAAGAGGAAGAGAGATGTGATAGTATGGAGGGTATATGCATACGTCTTAGAGGGAGAAGGAGCAGAGAAAGTTGGACGGACCTGGGGTACGTCAAGACATACATTCACCGCAAGGGGTTCAAGAGGCCGACAAGGTTTTTTTTTCAAGATAAACCAGGTCAGCGAGCTGAGTGTGAGTGGAGGGATAGGATCATGGCGCGTGTGGGAAAAGACATGGCGAGTGTGAGAGGAAAGAGACCATAAGGACACAGAAGAGACGAGATGGAGAATCACGACGAGGAGAGTGTATGTATGCAATGATAATTGATGCATTTTAAACAATGTAAAAGAAGAAACAAAAAAAAACAAAACAAGATTGACGTAAAGGTCCATGGAATGAACACGAACACGCCGAATACACCTACACATACACATCCCCAAACCACATTTGACCTCTAAAACATCGTCCTAGTCAGAGGAACATCCAAACCCATCTTGTCATGTGAGATATCATCTCTCTTCAAGTCGTCAGACTCATGTTCGACATTTACAGTCTGAATCATGTCATCTTGTATCAAACGTGTCATCTCCTTGATGGCATTCAAGTTCTCACCTGGTTTCACCCAGATGACGTTTACGCCCATGATCGAGAGAGCGGCTGAGATGGCATTGGTAGGTGTGAGCGATTGGTTTTTTTTGAATTTCCTAATCGGGTCTCTACGTTTTCGGTTTGGTCTTTCTTCAGAGGATGAGGATGAGGATGATGATTCGGAATCGGAATCGATTTCGACACCGAGTGTGATGTGAGACGCTGCAACTGTCAGCCGGAACAACCAGCGTGATTGGATCGAAAAGTTTGTGTCAACGTCGACTTGGTGAGGGAGACGTGCTTGGTTACGACCGGGAAAAGAAGACATGTGGGACCCAAACGAGGATACGGGGTGGGGTTTATGATAAAAGACAGCAAAGACAGTCCCGTTTTTCGTCTACACGCAAGGACGGGTGGGAAGGAGTCGAGGAAAAAGACAAAGTATAGTGTCTGAGCGGGGGAAAGAAACCGAAAGACCGCTCGGCAATTGTTGTCATCCTAGTCGTCGGAACGGTCTTCAGTTTCGATGAGGAACAACGTGAGAGGGACAGGACGGTGAAAAGAGGTGCGAGGCAAAGAGGTAACGTTCTGACATGATATGTATCATGAACCGTTCAAATCGAGTGACTTAGGACCGTTGTACGACGGTGGATGAATGAGGCATGAGGGCAGAGGGCAGAGGGCAGAGGACAAAGCGACGCCCCAACGTGAATCGATCAGGTATCAAAAAGGACAGTGACGAGTGGTGAATCGCCGAGCAAGGTTTGGGGATTCGACGACCTGGGGGGAAAAGAAGGGTAAAAAAAAAAAAAAAGACGTGAGTGGAGAGAATCTGGAAGTTGGACGACGTGATGATTGCGATGGTGCAAGAGATTTGTACTTTGAACGTAGATGTGAAAGAGAAAGAGAACATGTGAAAGGGGGGGAAAGAGACCTATCGATCACATGACTTGTGATTTCCATCGACAGGAAAACGTCTGAACACGTCTCAAACGCAAAAGAGCATCTTGGAGAGTGGAGAATGGAGCGAGAGGGAGAGAACGAGGTAGGGAAGTTTTGATAGAGGTGATTGAATTTGGAATTTGAGATGAGATTGGGTTTTTGATAGAGACGGATCGAGTCTGGAGTTTCGAGAGAGGAGGACGCCCCGATGCCAAAGGAAAAAAAAAAAAGACCGGGCGAAAAAAATAGAAAATTGATGATAAAGACAGAGACTGAGACGGAAATGAAAAGGAAAATGAAAACTGAAAGAATCACTCACAGTTTGTATCCGGTTGATACGATTCGGTATCTCCACCTTGTCCACTTCCGTCTTGACCATTTCCTTGATCTGGAGTTGGATTGTCCCCGCCACCACCTGGCCCCGACCGCCCACCACCTCCACCTCCACCACCCCCACCATCTCCACCATCTCCACCACTACCCCCCGACCCATCCTCAGCCTGATCCCCCGATCCATCCTCAGCCTGCACGTCTGACCTCGGGAACAAACGGACGAGAACACGCAACAACTCTGAACTGCGAGCGTAACCACAAATGCTGGCCAAATTTTCCAGATCCGAGTGTCCCAACACATGTCTCTTCCTCACTCTGTCAAAATCCCTCATCTCACTAGTCCTGTCCAGATTGAACGACCTCAGGGTCATCGGTCTCGTCACATGACGATTCTTGAGATCCAGCATGGGTTGACGGGTGAGGTTGACTAGCTTATCTCTCGACATGACGTCGGTACCGTCTGATCGAATGGTGTGAGCGCAAGCGATGGCAGATCGGATGATCCCCAACAAAACGCCCGTACTGTCTTGGTCTATCATGACCGGAAGATGCCCCCGGGTCCGTCTTTGATTTTGATCTTGTTGATCGGGTTGGTTTACGACTTGAGGTTGATCTCGATCTGATCGTAAAGATTCCCATACAGTCTGACTGGCATCAAGATCGTAAGGTAACATTGAACCTAGGAACCTGGAGAGATGTCTCATGTTGTCCACTCTTCCCCAGGAAGAATGATCGTTGGTCTCAATGGTGACATTGCGAGAATCCAAAACGAGGATGGGTGTAAACCGTGATCTGTACATGGCGACTGCCACACGACAGCCGCACTGTTCGAAAGATCCCACTGCATAGGCTAGAGCCTGTGCCAGACATTGTCGCGGGAGGTGTAGTTTGACCTCTAGAACGGAAAAGACGCAACACCAGTAATTTTCAGCCAACTCTTCTCAATAGTCTCGGAGATCATGACGGTAACGTTCGACGCGACGACGTTTGGTGGATGGGGTTTCATCGGTCAGGGTGGAGAAGGAACGGGTGGACGTAGAGGTCGACTCGGCGTTTGGGGGTTGGGTGGGTGAGAAGGAAGTCGGGGGTGGGGGTTGGGCCCGACGGGATCGTTTGGGTTTGACGCCGATTTGGGCCCGGACGGAAATATCGGGAGTGGATATGAGGGCGGAGGATGTGGAGGCTGGGTCTGTAGGACGGCATATAGTCTGGCGCTACCTGAAAACTCTCT